CAGGAAATTGATACTTTATCAGCATGAAGATTAATCATTTGTATTTTGGAGCATCAGAACTGGGGACCAATTACTTGTCAAGAGTTTTATAAACCAGTCACATAAACTGCTGTTCCATTACTCTTATCCTCCATCTTACCTTCAAACTTGTCTTACCTATGGCATTCAGGAGGCAAGTGAAAAACTTTGTGAAAAATTACTCAGATGCTGAAATAAAAGTCAGGGAAGCAACTTCCAATGACCCTTGGGGTCCCTCTAGTTCTCTGATGTTAGATATCAGTGACTTGACTTTCAACACAATTTCTCTCTCAGAGATTATGAATATGCTATGGCAGAGACTCAGTGACCACGGGAAGAACTGGCGCCATGTGTATAAGTCCCTTACGCTAATGGATTATCTCATCAAGAATGGATCAAAAAAAGTCATTCACCATTGCAGAGAGGGATTCTGTAACCTTCAAACACTAAAAGATTTTCGACACATAGATGAAACTGGAAAAGACCAAGGTAATAGTTAAAGAAGTTTATACAGTGTGCCAATAAAGATTAGGAGGGAGTTCATTTTAAATCAGAAACTGGGAAGAATTGTTTTTTGTTTTTGTTTTTTTAAATTTTCTTTTGCAAACCAGGAAGAGACCATCTCCAGCATGTCATGGACTGGAGGTGCTCTGTCTTCCGAGTTCTTTTTCAGCGTACTAGATGTCTTTCTTCTGGGATAGTTATAGTAAGTAGTTTAATCCTCTGTGTCGAGTCTTCGTGCTTTAGAGCTGCAGTCTCCAACCCCTAGTCTTCAGCCTATTAGGGACTGGGCTGCAGAGCACCCCCTCCAAGTCTGTAGAAAAATTATCTTTCATGAAACTTGGTGCGGGGTGGGTGGTGCGCAGCAGGAGGTGAGTGGGCCAGAGAAGCTTCATCTGTATTTACAGCCACCCCCTCTCCTCAATGCTTGCATGGCCGCCTGAGCTCCGCCCCCCTCACCCCACTCCTGTGGAAAAATTGTCTTCCATGAAACCAGTCCCTGGTGCCAAAAAGGTTGGGGACTGCTGCCTTAGAGAACAATGTATTTTTTTAAAAAGGTTATGTAAAACTAACACAGGTTCCTGATAAAAATGATACCTCCTAGAAAAATGAATAAAGGGAATGACACAGGAGGTATGGCAATTTGGCATAATAATGTCACTGTAATTCATAATTATAATTAAACTGGAATTTAGTCATAAATTAAGGAAGTATTTCCAAAGATGATGGAATCTTCAAAGACTAGATGGAAATAATTATATGAATACAAAAATTTAGGTCATAAAATAATTTTTTCGGGGGTGGAAGAGGAGGTGAAATAGGGAAAGGATATGTAGAATACTGAGATGATTCAGTAGTGCCTGATATTCTACAGTGGTAAAAGAATTAGCACTTCTTCTCCATCTACTGTAAAATTATAATTTGTATTTAAAATGAATAGTCTTATGAATCGTGAGAAGAGGATAAAATTTAGTACAGTCTCTGTTCAGTATGCATTTTAAAAATAGACCTTTTTTTTAGGTTTACAGAAAAATTATGCAGAAAGTACAGAGTTCCCCATACCCCTCCCCACCCATACACAATTTCTTCTATTAATAACATCTTGCATTAGCATGGTACCTTTGTTACAATTGATGAACAAATATTGATAAACTATTATTAAGTAAAGTTCACATTTTACATTAGGATTCATTCTTTGTGTTATACAGTTCTATGGGTTTTGAAAAATGTTTGTCATGGTTCCACCATTTGGTATCATACAGAATCATTTCAGTGCTCTAAAAATGCCCTGTGCTCCACTTACTCATCTGTTTAGCCCTCCCCCAAATCCCTGGACTACTGGTCTTTTTACTGTCTCCATAGTTTTGTGTTTTCTGGGTGTCATAAAATTGGAATCGTAAAGTATGTAGCTTTTTCAAACTGGTTTCTTTCACTTAGAAATATGCCTTTGAGATTTCTCCAGGTCTTTTCATACCTTGAGAGCTCATTCCTCCTCCTCCCCTTTTAAAACAGCTTTATTGAGATATAATTCACATACCATGAAATTCACCCAAAGTGTACAATTATATGGTTTTGTGTATATCATAATTTTTTTCCTTTAAGACAGGGTCTTACTCTGTTGCCCAGGCTAGTGCAGTGGCGCGATCATAGCTCACTGTAACCTCAAACTCTTGTGCTCAAGTGATCCTCCTGCCTCAGCCTCCCAAGTAGCTGGGACTACAGGCGCACCACCACGCCCAGCTAGTTTTTTTATTTTTTTGTAGAGATGGGGTCTCGCTGTGTTGCTCAGGCTGGTCTTGAACTCCTGGTCTCAAGTGATCCTCTCACCTCGGCCTCCCAAAGTGCAAGGATTATAGGTGTGAGCCACCATGCCCGGCCTCACATAATTTTTAAAAATTGTAATAGAATTTATATAAGATAAAATTTGCCTTTCTAAGTGTTCAGTTCAGTGGCCTTAATTGCATTCACAATATTGCACAACCATCACCATTATCTGTTAATATTTCCAAAACTTTTTCATTACCCCAAAACAGAAACTCTGTAACCACTGAGCAGTAACTCCCCTTTCTCACTCCACCCATAATCTACTTTTTGTCTCTAAATTTACCTGTTCTAGTTATTTCATATAAGTGGAATCATACAGTATTCTTTTCATTTGGCTTATTTTACTTAAACCATAATGTCCTCAAGGTTCATCTATGTTATAGGATGCATCAGAACTTTATGTGTTTTTTTGGCTGAATAATATTGTATGTACATGCCACATTTAAAAAGATCTATTCATTTGTTAATGGACTCTTGGGTTGTTTCTACCTTCTAGCTATTGTGAATAGTGCTGCAGTGAACATTGGGGTACAAGTATCAGCTCAAATCCTGGCTTTCAATTCATTTGGGTATATACTTAGGAGTGGAATTGTCGGATCATATGCTAATTCATTCTTTAGCTTTCTGAGGAACTGCTAAACTTCTCTATAGTGGCTGTGCCATTTTACATTCCTCTCCGTCATCAGCAATGTAAGAGGGTTCCAATTTGTCCATATCCTTGCCAATACTTTATTGCCCCTTTTTTTGATTATAACTATCCTACTGGATGTGAAGTGGTATCTCATTGTGGTTTTGATTTATATTTCCCGAAAGATTAATGATATTGAGCATCTTTTCATGTCCTTCATGGCAGTTTGTATGTCTTTGGAGAAATGTCTATTCAAATCCCATTATTAACTGGGATTTTTTATTGTTGAATTTTAAAAGTTCTTTATATATTCTGGATGCAAGACCCCTATCAGGCGATTTGCAAATATCTTCTCCCATTCTATAGGTTCTTTTTACTTTCCTGATGATGTCTTTTGATAAATAAAAGTTTAAATTTTTTTTGGCCAGAACACTTTAGTACTATATTTTTAAATTTTTATTTCAAAATATTAAGGGAGTACGAGTGTTTTTGTTACATGGATGCACTGTATAATACTGAAGTCAGGGCTTTAAGTGTGCCTGTCACCAGGATAGTGTACATTGTACCCCCTTTCATTCTCCCCCCTTCTTAGTTTCTTATGTCCTTTACACCACTTTATGACCATGTGTGCCCATCATTTGGCTCCCACTTATTAGTGAGAATATGTGGTGTTCGTTTTTCCATTTTCGAGATACTTCATTTAGGATAATGGTCTCCAGTTCTACCCAATATTAATAAATATTAATGAAAAGATTCCATGGGGGAATATTTCATATCTATCTTTTTGTGTTTATTTTCTGATGAATGTGATATAGAAAAGTATCTCTTGGTATAATTTAATTTATACTTAAATGTGCATCTTCTGGGGATGGATACATGCACAATTTGTTACTGATGGGGTGTACAGTCAAAGAAATTTGGAAACCACTAGCTCTCAAGATAAAGTCAGACCCCTGAGCATATTTCCAATCTGCCTTTCTACTCTTTTTACCTTAGTCAATTTAGCACATTGGTATTAATAATCATCCCTAATATACTTGCTTACACATCCTTGTGCTGGTACTTAAGATGTTTCTTTTCCCCTGGAACATTTCCTTGCTATATGTCTGTTGAACTACTTAGTCTTCAAATCCTAGCTCAGAATCCTTTTTCTCTGTACCCCCAACTACTGTTTCCCTCATTGGGCAGAATTAATTGCTGTAATTTTTATTCATATCAGTGTGGTGCTTTTTGTGGTATATTTTATTTTATCTATTTTATATATCTCTTTTTAACTAGATTCCTAGGGCATGTACCATATGTTAATCATCTTTTCACCATCAGGCCTGCACATAGGACATTTTTATCAAATGGAAGTCATAAAAAAGCAAGAGAAAAACTATTCAATAAAAATGATTCTGTTGAATCAGAGAGGAAGGCAGAGTGTGAAGTCTGTACTGAGAAGTGAATGTAAGAAATTGTAGTGATCCAAGTAATTGATATCTGGAGCCTACTCTAGATACAGGTTATCAAGAGGGACAAAAAAAAAAAAAAGACAGAAGTATAATAGAAGATATTTTAGAAAAAAAGACTTCTTTGGCTTTCTTGGTCTTTACACTTGCTGTTCCCTTTGCCTGCAGCGCTGTTCTCCAGAAACCTGCTTAGTTCCCTCGCATCCTTCAGCCCCTCTCAGAAAGTCTTACTAGAGAGTCCTTCTAGGTCTACCTTAGTTACAGAAAAGCAGCCCCACCCTCCCCTTCGAACTCACATGTCCTAGCCACGTTTTCTGTTTTCCTTTTCTCCGTAACATTTCTCATCTCTTTATCAAATAGGATATACACTATGTCAGATCTTTGATAAAATAGAATGTGTACTATCTCTTCCTGCTAAAGTGTAATTTTCATGAGGGCCAGGGACATTTTGTGGCTGCTTTGCCTGTGCTCCGTCTCCAGTTATCTTCAACAGTGCCTAACACGTGGTCCATGCTCAGCGATTAATAATTATTATAGGGGGAAAAAGTAGGGAAAATAAGTCAGAAAAACTGAGAAACATAAAAGAAACTTATTTTTAAATAATGAGTTACTTTTTCAAATAATATAAATACAATTTTCTTTAATCTCTAATCTCTAGACAGCTTTTCAGGTGATGTGTCTCTAAATTTGAGCAATAAATCCAGTTAATCTGAAAAATAAATACATGATTTTCCCTGTGTTTCCAGAATTTGGGGACATTCTATATTTATTGTAGTTTTAAAAAATCAACAATTGGACACATCGTTTCACATTTAGAGGTACTTCACCTGAAACAGTGACTATAGGAAAACATTGACATATTATTTGAAAAGGTAACTAACATGCTGTTTTAAAATATATTTATTTTACATTTGCTGACTTTTTGGACCCCTTTATTAGCAAACAATTTATAGCACTGAACTGTGACAAGCACTGTTTGAAACACTCGGCATATATGATTTCACTTAATCTTCACAACAGACCTTTGAGAGAGGTAATGTTTTGGCCCCATTTTACTGATGAGGAAACCAAGGTGCAAAGAGATC